GTTTTTTTATGTTGAGCTATAGACCGTTTTTTGTGCTCTCCTCTTTCACCCTCCATTCATCCAGGTAAGGGCAAAGTAGATATATTCTCTGCAGCTGTAAGAAGGCACCCTTGGACACCGAGTCCACCTGGGCTTCCAAGGTCAGACCCAGATCAAGGAGCACCCCCAAGCTGTGGACCCTGTCTCTTAGGGGGAGTGTAACCCCATTCAGGGCAGGGAAATGGCCCTCCAACCTGTCTGGTGAAGCACCCACTAACAGCACTTCCGTCTTGTCTGGATTGAGTTTCAATTTATTAACCCTCATCCAGTCCATTGTCAGGTCCAGACACGAATTCAGCACAGAAACCGCCTCACCTGGATTGGTGGAAAAGGAGAGGTAGAGCTGAGTGTTGTCAGCATATTGCCCTCTTCCTGCCCCCTTTTCCTGTGGTTGTCACTCAGTGGGCTGCAATGACTTTCCTTTTGTTGTTGTTAAGTAAAGTAACTGACATAGCACAACAGCGATGCATCTACTGTGTTCCCCCCAAAATAAGACCAGGTCTTATATTAATTTTTGCTCCAAAAACTCATTAGGGCTTATTTTCAGGGGATGTTTTATTTGTTTTCATGTACAACAATCTACATTTATTCAAATATAGTCATGTCATCTTCTGGTTGCTGCACAATGGTGGAGGGCGGGGTTTCACTTAACTGGGGCTTATTTTTGGGGTAGGGCTTATATTACGAGTATCCTGAAAAATCCTACTAGGATTTATTTCCAGGTTAGGTCTTATTTTCAGGGAAACAGGGTAGGATATTACATAAATGCAATTATGTACAGTAATATCCTAACTTACTCTCAAGAAAGGGACCTACAGAGTGTAACAAATTGATTAAAAAAAAAGAGACTGCCCAAAATATGAAGAGTTACCATGCATAACAGCATGAACCTATGTCACAATCAGAATCCTATTGGGGGGTTGACACCTGCATACATGTAACTACCCTGTTTCCCCCAAAATAAGATAGGGTCTTATATTAATTTTTGCTCCAAAAATGCATTAGGACTTATTTTCAGGAGATGTTTTATTTTATTTTTTTCATGTACAGCCATCTACTTTTATTCAAATAGAGTCATGCCATCATCTTTGTTACTCAAATACATTCATGTCATCATCTTCTGTTTGCTGCAGAAGGGTGGAGGGTGGGGTTTCACCTAACTAGGGCTTATTTTCAGGCTAGGGCTTATTTTTTTGGGAAACAGAGTACCTTCCATGATACACATAATATCACCAATGTATCTCATTTGTCTAGAGTAGTGCTAAAATAGAAAAAAAATGTACAAAATAATTAAAATAGTAATAGATGAAAACAGAGGAGGGGGATCTCTGTTATTCCCTTTCAATGCCAGAACCCAACAAATGTGTCACAGCATTGTCACTTCAGATATGTCCGCATGCAGCTCTATTTTGGTGTAGTCTAACAATCTGCCTAGGGGACGTGGTGGCGCTGCGGGCTAAACTGCAGAAGCCGGTGCTGCAGGGTCAGAAGACCAAGCAGTCGTAAGATCGAATCCACGCAACGGAGTGAGCTCCCGTCACTTGTCCCAGCTCCTGCCAACCTAGCGGTTCGAAAGCATGCAAATGCAGGTAGATCAATAGGGACCACCTTGGTGGGAAGGTAACAGCGTTCCGTGTCGAAGTCGCACTGGCCATGTGACCACGGAAGATTGTTTTCGGACAAAACGCTGGCTCTATGGCTTGGAAACGGGGATGAGCACCACCCCCTAGAGTCGAACATGACTGGACAAAAATTGTCAAGGGGAACCTTTACCTTTACCTAACAATCCGCATGGGCTAATTAGCAGTGCTCTGAATCGCACCAAACAAACTGTAGTCCGGCCATTGTGCTACAAAGAGACAGGATAGCTCTAAAAAAGGGCAGGATGGTTCACTCTAAGTCAAAACATCTGCTGATGTTTTGACTTCTAAATCAAAAAGCACTAAAAGCAATTCAAATTACAAGTTATTTTGCTGGTGTGAACATGCCCTGATAGTGCCTTGCAAGGCTTTGTGTTGTAAGGAGGGAGGTGAATAGGGTCATTGGTGTTTTGTAACTCCATGGCAATGGTTTGGAATTTTAGAATTGGTTTTGGAGGCCAGAATTCTGTTTGCTGAGACTCTCGGCTTCTGGCTTAACATACCTCTGTGTCTGTATCCCTTATTCAAAGTACTTCTGTATTCCTTTATTCACAGCTCCGATAACAGCTTTGAAAATATGTAAGAAATGCCCAATGGAATCTGTATAAAATCAAAAGAAGAACTGTCCCATGGGAAATTATGCTTAGAAGGGACAATGCTTTGATGTTCTTAATAGCTTTTTTGTCCCTCTTATTATACAAATAAGTAGATGCATTCAATTTGCCTGAGTTAGGCTGGTTATTAACTTTGGTTTTTAATGGAGCAGAAGACGGGTTGCGCTATACAAAATAAATGCAGCTCTAGCCATAGAATAAGGGTCTAATCAGATCCTATTATTTGCATGTTATTAGGAGCAGAGAAAAGAGCCAGTGTGTTGCAGTAGGTAGAAACTTAGGAGACCTGAGTTCAAATCCCTGCTTGGCCATGGGAATTTTCTGGGGATGACCACTCCTTAGATAGGTCTAGAGCCCTGAAAATCCCTTTTTGGTATTGCTCTAAGTTGGATGTGACTTGACAGCACATCATAGAGGAAAAAGAGAGCATGTGACTGTTTTGTTGTATGGGCCCTTCCCAGCATTGTTTCTAAATAAGCAGAATGCAAACCAAGCTCATATTGAACTTGTAATGACAAGACCAAACCATGCTAGTGGCTTTTAACACTTATATAGCTGTCACTTCATAGATAAGATCTTTTGTAGCATCTGAGTTTGTTTTCCTGACGGGCCTCTTTTTTCTTCTAGGGCACTTCCAGGGCTGGTGGTCCAATCCTTACCCTGCCTTCAGGCCTCACCTGTCCCATCCAGATTCCTGCTGGGGTGACTCTACAGACGGCCTCTGGTAAGGTTTGCAGCTGTTGCTTCGGGGAGGAATTTATGCGGTGGGGGTAGAAGACAAGAATGTGCCCGTAGCGTGGAATTGGAGGGCCACAGAAGTGTCCTTATAGTAAGGATGACAGGCAAACCCCTTTCCAGGATTATAACCAGAGAAGGGATGGTTGGGGAGATAACGTTTCTACTGTATCCGTGTGGTACGGTACACAGACAGACAAATGAACAAATGAATAAATACGTTTTGCAGGTTTTACTAGGAAATAGTTAAATGGGTTGAGAAGAAACCGTAGCAGTGGTCGGCTGGAGGAAGTCCCTTGCCAATTCAGATTCTTAAAAAAAGGCTTATAGAGAGAGAACGTGAACTATTGATAACTCACATCCAGCAACTTGATAGGCATTTTCTTTCCCTGTTTATCCTCCACTGTAGACTTAGGTTGAAATGACATTGTCAGGAAAAATTGTTTCAAATCCACAGCAACAACACTTCCACTGCCCATGACGTCAGCCCTACTGCAGTTTAAAAACCACACGAGGGCTTCTGTGCCATGCCAGCCGGGGCGGGGAGGCTTCTCAGCTAATGACCATGAGGAGAGTCCTCGCCCATTTGACATGCAGTCAACATGGAGCTGCGCCCCAGGCTAGAACAGCGCCACCATTTGGCCAGTGTTGGGAGGCTTCCTGGCTCCCTTGTCCCCAGCCGGCCAGCGGGTGACGTGGTTCAGACTGGGGGCAGGGCTGTTCTGGCGCCTCTGTTTTGGCCTCCTGTCCAGGAGGTGACCTTGACTTTAGCCGTTTCAGGATATGAAGCTTCTCAGCACTCGCTAGCCAGCTGGGCCTTCCCATCACACTTTTGTGTGAGGAATCCCATTATATCAGGATGTGTGTTGCATGTGGTTTTGGGCCTGTTTGCAGATAACCTGTAGTGAAAAGCTATGCTGTTGGGTTGACATTTGTCAATCACTTCCTATTTCCTTGGAGAAACTGCCTGTTCTCTTAGACGGAGATGGAAGACTGACCTTTTTTTCCCAAAGAGTAACATTCAAAGTCTTTATGTATAGAAAAATGTATTTCCTTTTCTGTATTGTGAGATGTCATAGAGTATCCTGTTGGGCATGCGGTGTAGAACGCCATGTTGCCTATGCAGTGAAGCTTATAGGTGTGTTAGAACGGGGGAGGGGAAGGGAAGGGAAGGGAAGGGATATTGTGCAATGGGAATGAATGTACATCATTACCAGTGAGAGAGGGAAGACACCTGAGAACGGGGAGGGGAGGGGAGGGGAGGGATATCGTGCAATGGGAATGAATGTATATCATTACCAGTGAGAGAGGGAAGACACCTGGACCACACGAGTCATGAGCCTGATGGTTCACGGGTCTGTGTATCTTGAGACATCCTCTGGCATTGAAAAGGACTGCCACTATCCTGTTCCAAATCTGGAGTGTGCAAAAAAGGCATGACTTCAAAACAATAGTGCTGGAAAAGGTTGAAGATAGCAGGAAAAAGGCGTGACTCCAAAACAATAATGCTGAAAAAGGTTGAAGATAGCAGAAAAAGAGGAAGACCAAATGCGAGATGGCCTGCCTCCCTAAAGGAAGCCCCAGACTTGCGTCTGCAAGAGCTGAGCTGTTAAGGACAGACTTGAGTTTGCTGGGTTCCTCCCTAAAGGAAACCCCAGATTTGCGTCTGCAAGAGCTGAGTTGTTAAGGACAGACTTGAGTTTGCTGGGTTGTTGATGACACCTCATTCATAGGGTCATCATAGGCTACTTAATGGCACACAACAGCAGCAAGCACCATTAAGAATCTGTGTACGGAGTAGTGTTGGTGTGAGTGTAATGGTAAAATACTACTAAATCCTTTTCCTGTGACAAGGGGGTGGACTAGATGGCCTTGAAGATTTTTCTTAACTGTGTCATTCTACATGAATGGTGTTGGTTGCCACTTAGATACTTGCAGCATGGAATAGGGGTTCCATGACCATATATACCATGTACCTCTCCCAGTGAATAAAGAACTGGAAGGAACTTGGATTTATTGACCTGCATTCACAGAATGTCCCCACCAGAGAGCACCATGTGGATATGTCCAGAAGGCTTAAAGTAATGCTGCTTTTAAAGTTGTGGCCCTAGGTTCCGGCTTGACGTCGCGACGAGACAGCAGCTGGAGCCTGAGAAAGCAACAGTCCGTAATCAAACATGTTCAACCAAAAGAATTTCTATTTAAAAAAATTTATTTGAATGGTGGTATATGAATGTTGACAGCTTGAAGGGAGATTCATTAATTTATTTGTTCAACTTATATACCGCCCATCTGAACTGTGGCCGTTCTGGTCACTTCACAACATAAATATAACACAAACACAAATCACATTAACTCAATTATAAAATAAAATATAACAATTTCAAACAATATAGGATACATTCTAAAATACCTAAATATAAAATATATTCTAAATTACCTAAACATTTAAGGTGGTGGTAGTCAATAAAACAGTAGGACCCCTACAGAGAGAGAGAGAGAGAGAGATGAAACAGTAGGACCCCTACAGAAAGAGAGAGAGAGAGAGAGATGGTCATCTCCAATCTTCAGCAAAGGAATGAGAGAACATTTCAACTTGGTTCTCACTCATAGAGAACCCATTGAGATAAAAATTACAAGTGCAGGGGAGTTCTGGGTCCAAAGACTGTGTTAGCTATAATCCACGCTTTTTAGTATCTTTGAGCAGGGGCTTAGAACCAATCCCCTCATGGATATGGGAACCCTACAGTATTATTGGCTGTTGGCTTCAAATTCAAGGGGTTCCATGCATGATTTGAAAGGCCTGCTGGAATAGCCATTTATTTGTGTTTGTTTCTGAAAAATCCCCAACAAAAGGACATCAATGGTAGGTGATAGTTGATTCCATAACCGAGGAGTGACCTCTGAGAAGGCCTGATTCTTCTTCTTGGGGTTAGCATCCTGCCTGCAATATACAGGTAGGACCGGCAGCATTGAGATCCCAAACCATTTAGGGCTTTGTAGGTTAAAACCATCACCTTGAAGCTGGGATGGAAGCGAGTAGGTAACCAGTGTAGGGTGGTTAGAATTGGAGAAATATATTGGGATCTATTAGCTCCACTTAGGAGCCCAGCCACCATATTCTGGATCTGCTGAAGTTTCTGTATCAGCCTCATGGGTAGCCCCATGCTGGCATTGCAAAGCCATATGGCAAGGATGCTCAAGAGCAAGGGGCCGGGGGGGGGGGTTGTCATTTTTCCAAACCAGGGCCTTCTCAGGGCTACATCATGCCCATGTGAAGCCACTCACTTTGGGAGAAGAATATGCTTCCATAGCACTGATTTGTAACAGAAAGGGGGTGGGGAGGGGGAGGTCTGATGTAAGTGGGAAACATGACTTCTGATGGCTTCCATGGGCAAGAATTTTCTTTCTTTTTAACTGAAAGAGAGGAAATAAGTAAGTTTGTGGGATGGGTTTCTATGAAGAGCCCAAGATGGGGGTGCAGCATTGTGATTCCCATTCTTGTGGTATGAGTTTTGTTCCAGTTCAGCTGCCACCATTTCCACCTAAAGAGATTTGGGGAATTATCATTGTTAACAGATCCTTTCCTTCTAGCCCTTTAGAAAAGAGCTTTGTCGCACCTCTAGAATGCCAGCAGAGTGATGCATGGAGAATGAAGGGCTACGCAAGCAGTTTGTTTGTTGTGTAGAGAAATGCTGTTAGAGGAGAGGGAACATTGGAAGGGGATGATGATGATGATGATGATGATGATGATGATGATGATGATGATGATGATGATGATGATGATGATGGCAGCAAGATGATGATGATGATGATGATGATGATGATGATGATGATGATGATGGCAGCACTTTGGTCTTACGAGGTTCAAATGAGCCAGCCTGCATGGTGGAAGCCAACTCTCACCTCCTTGGTTTTGAGTCCTTCCAAACCGCCAGCCTCTGACATTCTCCTGCAACCATAAATCCAAGAACATAAGGCAAAGAAGGAGATAAGAAGTGACATCGTCCAGGCTTTCCTCTGTGTACTCAGAGTCTCAGTGTCCTTCAAGGGCATTTTAAAAGAAACGGTACAATTGGGCATGTAAACAAGTCCACGTGGTGCTTATGGGAGTGGTCATTCCTCGGTGAGTGTCGTGGGCTCATCAAGGGGTTTGGAAAGTCCTTCCCATGTCACCTGGCCCAGCCTTCTTGTGAGGCAGAGCAAAGTAGGAAATTTGGGTTGAAATGCGAGGGAAGCAAATGGGTATTTATTTGCCTTGCTCCTATTGTATACATATTCATTTCTAGGCCACCTATCTCCCATTGAGGCCAAGTATAAGGAAAGGTGTTAGTGTCTTTTCTTTTTTTCTCTGCACCAAGATAATTTGGGTTGTTTTGGGTGGTGCACCTCTGACTTGGGTCAGAGATGCCAGTTGTGGCTCTGTTCCAAGCACCAAAAAGGCCTTGGAGCTGGCCCTGTGTGTTAAGGATGCACGCTAGGATTCCAGGAGAAGGCAGCTGTGGTGCTCTGCTTATCTGAGACTAGAATCTTCAGATAAAATTTTGATATTACATAATTATATTGGGAGGGGGGAATCTCCCAGTGGCCTTCTTGTGGATGTCTCCTTCATTGCTCTCTGTGGAAGGGGGGGGGCGTCTGTGTTTCCCCAGCCTTCTTGATTGTAATATCAGACAAGCTGTGATTGGATAGAGCTTGAAGTAGAGATGTACCACCCAGTTTCTTCTGACACGATGACCCTAATAGAGTTTTTAGGCATGTGAGATGCTCAAGGTCTTCTGAGTCCTGTCTGGCGCCTTATCAACTGTGCTATATTGACTCTCTGGATAGTGCCTGGTGAGAGATTTAAAAGATGTGCTTGCATGAAAGTTTGCTTTCCTCCTGCGCTCCTCTTCCTAGTACTTCTGCTCAGTCGTTGAGGGTGAAAAGCCTATTCACAACACCTGGTTTCTCTTTCTCAGGGCATTTATATAAAGTCAACATGCCTGTGGTGGTCACTCAGGCTCCAGGGGGTGGAAGTGTTCTCCAGAATCCCGTTCAACAGATGTTCCAGCCCCCTGGGAAGCAGACCTCAGCGTCTCAGTCCCCCACTGCCACCCTTCAAGCACAGAAGATGGGAATGGAAGAAGATTCACCTTCTCTTGCTATGCAGGAAGCTACAGGGAACCGTGGGGAGACTGGAACAGGGGCTCTGGTAAGCCAGCAGCCATCCGAGTCCCCGGAGACTCCTCAAAATGGTGATGCTCAAGCCCCTATTTCTGTTTTGAAGCTTTCTGAATCAAACAGCACCGCGGGGGCCACAGAAATGACAGCAGGCAGATCTTGCCTTGCAGGAGAACTGGCAGTGAATCTTGAGCAGCCGGTAGATCCCAGCGATATAATTGAGCTGATAATCATGAGCAACGAGTTGGATGATAGCACCTTCCTGTCTGGAGAAGCCAACGTGCCTTTTGTTGAAGAGGTAACCCAAGTTTATTTTCTGCCCTTCGTTTTTAAAGGTTTTCTTTCCTTACTGCTTCTGCTGAGCCAGACAACCTGGCAAATGCAGTTTTTTAAAAAAATGCACTAGAATATATGGTGTGCATAGAATTGTGGAATAACCATAGCTTTGAGATTTGGACCATCCCATGTCCTGATGATAATGATGATGTGCCATTATGCGAGTTCTGACTGACGGTGACCCTTTTCTGGGTTTTCCAGGTAGAGAGTACTCACAAGTGGTTTGCCATTCCCTTATTATCCTAAAACTGTGCAGTTTGTCCAAGGCTACATAGGTTAGCTGTATTTTCAGGGAGGCACAGTGGGGAATAAAACGTCTAACCCCTGGCTCTGTAGCTAGATACATAAACCACTGAGCTATCCAGCCACTTAAAAACAAATGTCCTAGAAAAAACAAATAGTAAAGGCACTGGCTGGTTTTCAAAGAATGGTAATGCACTTGCAGTTATGTTTTTTTTGTGGGTGTGTCTTTTAAAGGAACACTTTCTGAAGAAGTGTGTCATGAGTACACACTTCCAGAATGTTTCTGTTGAAATTTGTTTGCCTTTGTAAACTTTCCATGGTTAAAATCTGGGAGCGGGACCCTAAATTCCTTTCAGGGACTTAATTTGACTCTCGGAGATTAACAGGAATGTGTTTGACAAAAACAAAATGAAAATGAAATTCAGCAGTGAATCGCAACTAGAGGAGGCCCATTGAATTAGTAGAACCTATTGAAGAACTGACTCACCAGACCCTTGCTAATTCAGTGGGCCTACTCTACTTGCACCTCACCATTGGATTTCAGTCATTGTGGCACCTCCACAAGAAACAGACTAACATAGCTATCTGTTTGAAAATGAACAAGAATTCTAATTGATTTGAGGACTTAGAAAAGTTGTTTTATTTGGTCTGTAACTCCCAGCTCTCCTCACGTGGCCATATGGCTATGATATTAAAGTCACAGTCTGAAAAAGATACGATTTCCGGGTGACTCTCTCACGTTCGGGGGGTCACCTTGGCCGCAAAGAGAGGGGTTCACAGCCTGGGCATACATCTGGACCCGACGCTCACCATGGAGACACAGGTGGCATTGGTAGTCCGCACCGCCTTTTTTCATCTCTGGCGGATTGCCCGGCTGCGACCCTATCTTGACACGGGGGCGCTCACTACCTTGGTGCATGCGATCATAATCTCAAGATTAGACCACTGTAATGCGCTCTACATGGGGCTACCTTTGAGGCTGATGCGGAGGCAGGTGGTGCAGAATACGGCGGCCAGACTCCTTACCGGAGTGAGAAAATTCCAACACATTTCTCCAACGCTGGCCGCTTTGCACCAGCTGCCCATCTGTTTCCGTGTCAACTTCAAAGTTTTAATGCTTACTTATAAGGCCCTAAATGGTTTAGGACCTCAATATTTGGCGGAACACCTGCTTCCACCAAGGTCTACCCGGATCACCCGCACAAGCCAGGAGGTGAGACTGAGGAGCCTGATGCCGAGAGAGGTCCAGAAGGAAAAGGGTTCTTCTCAGCAGTGGCTCCTTGCCTCTTGAACAATCTCCCTCCGGAGATTCGTGCAGCCCCCATGCTGGGTATCTTTAAAAAACAACTTAAAACATGAATGTTTATTCAGACCTTCCCTCCAGTCAATACTTGATTCCTTCTTTTTATTTTTTTTCCTTACTTTTTCTATTTTTATTTTATTGTAGTCGCTTTGTATTATTATGTATTTGACAGTGTTTTTACTCTCTGATTTTATATTGGAAGCCGCCTAGAGTGGACCGTTGTTCCAGATAGACGGGATAAAAATCAAATAAATAAATAAACAAATTGCTCTGTAACTCCCAGCTCTCCTCACGTGGCCATATGGCTATGATATTAAAGTCACAGTCTGAAAAAGATACGATTTCCTGTTTCTAATCCACCTTTCTTGCAAGCGACTATCCAAAAGTGATCTTGTGAGCCTCTCCCACATCTGGAAGCCGGAAGCTCCGAGGTGTGGAAATCAATTCATGAAGAAATTCATGCAAGCCAACCAGGTCATGCTGGGTCACACAAACTTTCTTTTCTTCCTTCTAGCTAGGTAGCAGTGTGCAGATGGAGCATGATCTGCAGGCCCAGAAGGATATTGCTAATGACCTTGAAAAAATTATTCAGCTAGATGGAACAGATGATATTTCTCCCAAGGGAAGAACAGAAAGTCCAAGAGATGGGGAAGATGAGGAACTTGTTGGCAACCTTGATGCTCAAGATCTGAAAGTCCTCGATGAGGAGGAGGAGGAGGAAGATGGTGAAAGCATCCCAGACAATCGGTCTCTGAGCAGCACTAGCGATAACGATGATCCTTCCGTTGATGTAATTGAGGAGGTAAACTTTTGGATCCCCTTGAAAACTGTTAGTGTTTCCATGCTTGTGGCAACATGGAGAGTGGCAGAGCTGGTTTACGTAGGTCATCCGATTCAGCCCCCTTGCCAGTGGAGAAGGTCAATTCCTGCATCATTGCTAATAAGTGACCATCCAAGCTCTGTCTTGAAAACCTTTTTCAAAGGGAGTGGTTGATTCCAGGTACAGTGGAACCTTGACTTACGAACTTAATCCGTATTGGAACGGTGTTCGTACGTGGAAACGTTCGTAAGTTGAAGCAAAGTTACCCATAGGAATTCATTGAAAACCAATTCCGGCTGTTTTTCATTCTTTTCTAGAGGCACCGTTTGCAAGTAGAAGCATCCATACTCTACCACTAGGGGGAGAATTTTTCTTCTTTTGACTTAAGATGAATTTATGTAAAAAAAAAGGGCAGGAAAGGAAAGGGGGGGAGGGAACACTTTCTAAACAGAACACTTTTAAACCCAAGCACCTTTCAAACAAAACCAAGCACCTTTCAGTTTAAAAAAAGGGCAGGAGAACACCTTTCAAACAGAACATGTTTTTTTCTGTTCGTAAGTCGAAGCTCTGTTCGCAAGTCGAAGCAAAATTTTGCGTACAGAGCGGTTTGTAAATCGAAATGTTCATAGGTAGAGAGGTTCGTAAGTCAAGGTTCCATTGTACTTAAACAGGGAACAGGTATGGTAGATGTTGTAAGTTGCATTTTGCACTGCAGTTCATGCATTGAATAAAAGGTTTGACCTAGATGTCCTTGAAGGTTTCTTCCAACTCCCAACTCAACCCTGTTGATTGTGGCTGCCATGCCATTTCTCAAGAAGCTGAAGACATCCCCTGTATTGACACACTGTGTTACTGTAAACTAATGTTTCACATGAACCTCAGCCCTCCTTACATTTTAGATTTTAGCTTCCAGAAATCCTTGACTGTTGGGCATGCTTACTTTGCCATCTGGATATCTAGAGGTCAAAGGCTGTAGACTTCTGCTATGTGTGAGTTACTACTTAGCTAGGTTTTGTATAGTTATCCAAATGTTCGAGTTTAAAGGGAAGTTGTATTATTTCTTACTTTAGAGCAGCTAGGCAGCCGTTATCATTATCATAGCTCAGATCATGCAAGTAATTCATTGCATGCTTCACTTTTAATACATTGTAGCTACCCAAAGGCAAGCAAAAATCTACAACTCTGATGTTGCAATTAGGAAATATCAAAACACAAATGGCAAAAGCAAATAGTACTTCCTTTGCCACTTAGGACTGATAAAAGATTGGCATAAAAGTTGAAAAATCCCCATCAACATGGCTCTAAAATACCTTAAAACAGCCGCCTAGAGTGGTCGAAATGAC